TTTCCTGATAAAATACTGTCTTTCTATGGTATTATGCCAAGTTTAGCTGTTATAAATAGAAAATAGAGACGCCATTTTGCGCGGGAAGACAGCGCATGCGTGACTTTAAGGGCAAGGGTAGAATTGACATTACTTTAATTCAAATTACAATTGTTCTAACTAGACGTCACGTGGTAGCGAACTACGTCATATTATTCAGTAATTCACGTGTATAAATGTTTGTACAGCCGTTTTATGAGGACGAAAGTTACCTAGTACCTATGTTTATTTTGTGTATTATTTAAAAAACAAACGAATAGCAGAAAATGTGTTTTACTTGTTCGGCAGTTGTTTTAGTTTTTGTTTCATTTCGTTTGTATGTGAAATGGAATGTGAATGTGTGAAATAAAAATTGTTTTACGGACGGATGGAGTAGTGAATACGCGCCACAGAATAAATGTACGGATGGATTGGAGTTTTCGTTAGAATTAACCCCTGGTTACCGTGCTCATACACCGAAATACAACTCAAGCGTTGTTTCACGTCGGTTTTCTGTGAGGTGGTATGGTAGCATCACTCTCAAGCATGACTTTCCTACTTTCAAATAGGTTTAAGAAATAAACTAGACATTAATTTATGTAGATGGAATACAGTATCTTCTGTGAAGGCTCGGACAAATGATTTTTTATTCCTTGTTTGCATCACAATCATGAGTAGGTATTTTACCGATTTTTTTAACAGATAATAAATTGTTTATCTTCTATAGACGTAATATTATAAGTTTTTAGTCAAAGTGCATCTTAATCCGCTGTTATAATATTTTCTTTATTACATTTTTACATAATATCTGAAAAGATTAGTGCAATCGAATTTATATCTTAAGATTATGTGTACAGGTATTAATATCGAAACAGGATAGCGATTGTTTGTGGGTGTTTTTAATAAAATTATAAATATTTAGGTTAGTAACTAAAATTGAAAAGTTATAAATATTTATAATTTAGGAATTTACAAAGAAAAAATATAATACTTACTATCGATATGATTTATTCGATATAGTCTCCCCCACTAAGATATTTTGCTTCGTTTATGTTGGTCGCAAGCGAGACTGGGGAGCAAGGGGCATCAGGTTCGATTTCCAGTTGAGGTAAATTATAAATTTTTTATATTGTTTTTTTTTGCTTTTATTGTTTTTTACTGCTGTTTTCTATATTTATTTTATGTTTTTATTGTTTTTCATTGTTATTTTATGTTTATATAAATTTGGTGCGTCATGCCAAATGACAAATAAATATTTTATTCTTTCTTTAGTTACCGAGATTTTTCTAAATATTTTTAGTAATATTACGGACTGCATGGAGACTTGAATTATGCTCAACTATGTATGACAATAGGCTCACTCAATTGAATTTATGACTAACTTAATTTTAGTAAGTTTCCAGATTTTTTTAAAGAAATAAGTATGCTGTTTGACGCACAAAAAAAAAACGTGAAATCACAATACACAATCTCGTAGAAAATTCAATGGAAAACTGTCGTTTTTGACAATTCGAAAAAAGTATTGAATTTGACTAGTTGGCATAGCAAGTAGGTACCGAATTATTTGAAGATTGCTTAGGCCTGTAAGTCAACTGTAAGTTTTCAGGTTCAGAAAACTGGACTTGTCCGTTTTATCGACCGAATTAGTGAAGCTCTAAATACGCGCTAACATTTTGTTAACAAGCTTACGATTTAGGGGTTTGTTTGTGGTATTATAACTATTTGAGTTGCTACTTAGTAAAAAATAAGAATCTTGAAAAATTTTCTTTAAGGTGCTGTTGTTACACATGTGTAATGCTTTTCGCATGCTATTTTAGAGCATGTTCTTAAATAGCATGCTAAATGGCGTTCTATTGAGAATGCTAAAAAGAGCATGCTATTACTAATTGTGAGCAACATTCCGACACACGTGTTCTTAAGTGATCAAAATCAAAATCATTTATTTCTACTTTTGAACATCAAATAAAATATTGAATCAAAAAATGTTCGTCTGTCGGCCAGTCCTCTAGTTGCTGTATTTGCTCGTTCCAAGGTGTTGATTCCTATGGAGAAGAACAAGCAAAGAACTCCACAGGTTACTCTTTTTCAATCAGGTTCACAATACAATTCTTGTTGCATTGTTTCGTTGGTTAAGTGCTTAATTGAAGTATGCTTTCGTATATGAAACTAGTATGTGTAGTGCCTTTCCGACCGACCGACGGCAGTGTAATGTGTTAAACTTGTTTTACATTACAAGAGAAAATTCTAGTCTTAGTACGTGTTGCGGAGAACCTAACTAGTTATCGAGGCGCCGTCTCGAAGTGCAGGAGTAGGAACGGGGTGGTTTCTAGTCGGTAAGAGTCTGGACACTCCCTCCCGCCTCACTTAAGCGGGAGAAGTCATTCGATGATTTTCCCCTCTAAAAAAAAGTCTTAGTACTTACATAGTGTGGACAACAAAGCATATTATTATTATAAAGGAGTTTTTTTATATATTTTCTGTGGTATGGGATATAGATTAACGTTTTAGAAATAGGTAAGTAAAAAAAGGCGGACGTAATGTCACTTAGAAATTATTGAAGCACCAAATTGTCAGTGGTGTATTTATGTGTGTGTGTGTGTGTACTTGCAACACCGTAATGTATGAAGTGAAATGACGGGCCATGTCACGCGACAGATGTCCTACGTGTCAATGTGTGTGTATTCTGCGTGTAAGTCTATAGTAGCCAGGTGCCACAGTCGTTGTTTCAAGAGACTAATCCGCCTTTTTATCAACGTCCTTTCATACAGGTCTGACATTTTCCTCTAAGGAAAAAAGCCTTTCTTATTAAATAAAGATTAAAAAAACTATCTTTTTAATCGATTTTAAACTATCTAAGTAGCTACTATATAATACAGATGTACATACATTGACAATAAAATGCTGTCATAACAACAGTCATGATGATTTTAAATTAAGTATTTTGTAAATAATTATGGGTCTGATGAGTTATTGATAAGTAGGTTAAACCTATCTGTAGATAGAGATATTATTTATTCGTTTTTTATTTATATATTTATTTATTTTTTACACAATGCAGGTACACACTTAGGTACATAGAGGTAATTCAAATTACTATACTATGTTACTTATTATTATATTATTTTACTTCCAACCATAAAGTACATGACCCTAATGGCGCAGCATACTCTATACCCTGATGTAAACCCTGGCTGCAGCAATTTAACTTATACATAACTGAATAATCATCTAGTCTATTAGGTTCATATTGTACTAATTATTAACTGAATTACTAACTATAAACCTATTATTATTAATTCCATATATTTATTTAAACTGTCAAACACCAAGCGGTCACCGGTGACCGCGACCTATTGGTCTTTAAACTGTCAAACACCAAGCGGTCACCGGTGACCGCGACCTATTGGTCTTTAAACTGTCAAACACCAAGCGGTCACCGGTGACCGCGACCTATTGTTCTTTAATTGTGTCTATAAAACCGGTACTCGACGAGTTAAAGTTCTCTATAAAACTGATTATACTAATAGGTACCTACCTACTAAAAGAAAATATTCAGGTAAAAATAAAAAAATAGGAACCGACCAGTAGCGGTAGCATACAATATTAAAATGTACTATGAAATTCATCTAACATACATTATCTATTATATATACATTTTATTATTTTTTAATTAATTCATCATCAGGCTGTTGAGTAAGAAGGTACTTGTCTAAGTGCAGGGCAACGGTCTGTTCTTATAGAAATGAGAAATGGACAGAGAAGAAAACGACGAATGACACATAGCTGTCATCCCCAAACTGGTTGCCAAGCATGGGGATTAAGGCTAGCCGACTCCTTTGTTCAGTAATAGATGTATTCAAGCTGATACAATGATGATGTGTATTTACAAAGGTAACCACAAGCGTTAATGAGTCAATGACTCTACACATAAGTAAAAAAAACCTAAATAGCCTTCATTCCAATATAAAATTTGAATTCCGTATTTAAAACAAAAATAATATCGAACAAACTGGTTTAAAGATTCTAACAAAAATAAGTATTTAAAATTAGAACGGAAATGGACCATAAAGCTTTGTTTTTTAATGGCGCGATAATAATCTAAAATGTTATTTCGTAATTTGAACGTGAAGCGTTCGTTGATGATAATGCTAAGATGAGAATCTGCCGAAAACTGTTTCATAATAAAAGTAAAGTACAAAACCACTTGACCTAGTTGTCTGTGCAACGAGTAGTTTGCGTAAATGTAAATGAAAGGCATAGCAAATTATGCTGTGAAGGTTTTAAAAACTGATGACAACAAATAAAAGCTGAGCAAGCGGTTTTTTCTGTTTAAATAAAGTAATTGCACATAGCAGTATTGCTTAACTCTAGTAAAAATAATAATTTTGTCTTTTGACTTAATTTTCTTTATTTTTTTATTTTCTGTATTTAGTAAAACAAACAAACAATAATATGTTCATGATGTGTCAGTTATTCAAAAATAATAAAAAACAAATTGTATCTTTATATAAAGTGACATCTAGTTTCAATACGTAACACCATACTACAGCGCCATCTATAATTCAGACACTGAAATATTATCTCTTGCCCTCTAGCGGCAAATAGAAATACTATGACACTACACAAAGTTGTAAAGTTTGGTACTACTCTCCGCTAGATGGCAAGTTGATGGCAAGATGGTTAGTTCGTGCATTTATATTTCATGAACATTTCATTCAATGGTTAAAACAATGTACTTCATTGCTTAATTCACACTATTTATTAACATTTATAAAACACCAAAATTAAATTAAATAATGCATCAGAAATAAATTATGTTTCTATTTTTTTCTTTTCTTCTACCTTTAAAAGGTTGGTAACACCGATCACAAATTGTCATTACTCAACGGCTGATATTTTTTTAAAACATTCTTGTCTTTCGTCTTGCTGATGGATATTTTTAATTTGATTAATTTTGTTGGGATTTCTTAGTTTTGATAACAATGGAAACTAAAACTACACATAACAAGCAAAGCAACCGTAAGTAGCATACGCCAAATTACATAAAAAAACGTACGAACGATAATAATTTTGTGAATGATTATGAATCCACCTTTACACGTGTGATTTCAGGGTTTTTGAAACTTTCTTTGAAGAAATCTAGACCAAAACCAATTCAAGACATACATAAGGAGGACAAGAATCCAGATATTATAGTACTTGATGAATCTTTTGATAGATTACGAAATGATTTCCCTAGCCCTGTAAGTACAACAATAAACGATTATGAATGTCTAAAAATAGAGACAATAGTGTTGAAAAGGTTATTAATAATTCTAATAAGTGTCTAAATACTGTAGAACAACATTACTGTTATAATCATGGAAAAATTCTCCTCGTCTCTATTTGTTATTTAGGCTAAAATATGATAGACCTACCTAGGTATTTTAAACTTGTTTTTATGGTTATTTTTTAATATCTGAAAAGTAAATTTACTATCAGTGATAATCTTGCATAAAACATAGTGATGTTTTATGCATAAAATAGAATAATAGTAAATTTTTAGCATCTTTTCCATTTAAATTTGGACTGACTGACAAAATGTAATTAATTTTCCCCTATTTCAGGCGAAATCTAGCCAAAAATTATATTCTCCAATCACAATCAATGATTCCTGTGAAATGTCTTTCAATGATGACCTGCCTAAAATCAATTTTAATGACCATGAACCTAGCAGAAATGGAAATGTAAGTACATATATATTTCTTAAATTATTATTATGATAGTTTTATAAAAATTCAAATTACTTTATCTGTAGATCACACGTTACAAAAGATGTTACAAGCTTTGCATTGACCAGCTATGTCTTGCCACCAACGGCATACAAATATATTAAATTAATCTACCATTTATAAATTATACAAAGATTTCAATAGTCAGACTTTTTATTAAATTAAAATAAAGGGTCATGTACTGTTAATATTATTATATTACATTTCATGATATATAGTATTAATCAGTAGTAGCAAGGAGTCTGGAATTGTGCCCGGTATATGGCAATAGGCTCACTCCCTATTACATGGGACTCATAACATAAATAGTGAAAAGTGGGTGTCACATTGTACAGTGGTATAATGTGCACCTCTGCCTACCCCTTTGAGGATAAAAGGCGTGATGTTATGTTATGTAGTATTAATCATCACCAGCCTGTTTTGCATACTGGTTGCCTGAAACTTCAATCTTCAGGTCTCTACTTCCAACCATAAAGTATATTCAGTACATTAGGTTATCCCTTATCCATTTGACCAACTGACTGTTTTTTATGGCATAAGCCAGTAAACAAGCAGATAAATCACCTGATGGTAAGCAATCGGTGTCGCCCATGGACACCTGGAACACCAACACACAAGTGTGTTACGGGCCTTTTACGGACTAGGAGTTTGAGGATTGTTGGGAATTCAGGGATTGGGGAGATCGGAGAAAGGATAATTGGGCCTCCAGTAACCTCACTCATACAACGAAACAACGCAAGCGTTGCTTCACGTCGGTTTTCTATGAGGCTGTGATATCACTCTGGTCGAGCCGGCCCCTTCGTACTAAAGCATGGCTCTTCCACGCTGACTCTTAAGTGAGTGTAGTTATCAGGCAGAATCTGGCGTATTTAGTGTTTTTAGTGCATATTGAAAATATTTATAATAAGTTTAATAATTACTAGCTTCTGCCCCCGACTTCGTACGCGTAATCCCATTTTTTCCCGTCCCCGTTCGTGACTTTCGGTAAAAAAAAAATTGATCAAAAAGTATCCTATGTCCGTCTCCTGGCTCTAAGCTACCTCCCTACCAATTTTCAGCCAAATCAATTCTGCCGTTCTTGAGTTATAAGTGGTGTAACTAACACTACTTTCTTTTATATATATAGATAAGCACTACTCAGTCAAAAAGTTACCATTATCTAGTCTTGTACATTATAACAACAATCTAATTACAAATTTCCAGATCTCCTTCAACTGTTCAAGAGAAGAAACATCAGCAACGAAAAAAGGATCACGACCAAGCATCGGAGGATGGTCACCTGCACAGCACATCATTTGTGCCACACCCAAGCATGATCCCACACCTTCATCCCCCAGAGATGTAGCAAACGAATCACATGAACAGTGTTCCTTAAAGAAAATACACTTATCACAAAAAAAAATACTTAATGATTTATATGGGGAGCAATGGAAATCAATACCAAAGTTATTTAAGGCTATTAAAGCGAATTGTGAGAACTATGACACTATATCAAAGAAATTACAGTTTGACGAAGATGAAAGTGACAAAGAGAATATAAGACACGATTTGAAGCAGAATAAAATTTTGTATTTGACTGATTCTGAAGCCAAACGAAGAGTTGATATGACTACGGATTCTGAAAGAAAATCTAAGAAAAAGTTGTACACTGAAAAAGTACCCAGTACTCCCGAAGTAGGAAAGATTAAACCGAGGAATGTTGCCAGTACAACGAAGAAAACGAAAGTGAATAAGGCTATGAGTGTAACGGAGATGGTGGAGGTTATGAATAACGATGTTGATGTGTTAACGAAGAAAGTTCAGAATGTTTGTGTTGCACCTGCAATTAAAGATGATACGAGACTTAGCTTTATTGGCTCTCTGGCAGGTAAGGTTTTTTATAAACTAAATTTACTCTTTTTTATTTTTGGGCTGCACTAAGATAAACTGGCTCATTAGATGAATGTTCGCAACCACACCTTCTGAGCAAGGTTTTAAGTTCTATTCACATGTCGTCAAACTTTTTCTTTGTAAGGTTTCAATACTTACAAAGAAAATTACATTTAATGAACAACAATACTTACATAGTGAATTTACATAACATCATAACATCACACCTTTTATCCTCGAAGGGGTAGGCAGAGGTGCACATTATGCCACTTTACAATGTAACACCCACTTTTCACATTTATGTTATGAGTCCCATGTAATAGGGAGTGAGCCTATTGCCATATACCTGGAGCAATTCCATTCTCTGTGCTACTACTGAGAATTTTTCAAAAACCCAGAAATACTTTGCCCGACTTGTTCTCTTTTTTGAATGATACTAACAAAAACCTTCTCAATCACAGATGACATACCGTCCTATCGTTGTAACGTAGAAGCGCTACAATACCATGACAACTACAAGAATCTAAAGGAACAGTTAGCTCGGAGGCTATTTGTGGAATTCAATAAGAATGTTTTTGACAATGTCATGGAGGCTGACCTACCTATTCTATGGGATCCTAGGTTTAGAACAACTGCTGGGTAAGTGATAAGTATTCTTAACCACTTTCTGCCATATTCACTCATATTACGTTGGTGCACCTGCCAAAACTGTTATGGGCATATAGTCAAGTTTTCAGGGGAGACAATAAACTGTTTTTTACACTTACACTGAGAGATTGATGGACTTAGTAATAAACTAGTAACCCGCCCGGCTTCACACATGTGTAATATGCATGTGTTATACATATAAACCTTCCTTAAGAATAACACTATCTATTTAAAAAAACTGCATCAAAATCCGTTGCATAGTTTTAAAGATCTAAGCATACATAGGGACAGACAGACGTCGGACAGCTACTTTGTTTTAAACTATCTAGTGATTAAAAATGCAGTATGATGGCGAAAAAATTTATACACATATCAGTTTTGGTAGGCGCACAGACACCGACCACTAGGATATAACATAGCCTTATGGAATAAACGTGTGCGTTACCCAGACCAGAGGGCTTACTCTTGAATCCAATTCCGATCGATCGACATTGGTATTGTGAAATTTCGTACTCTCGAGTTGCAACACTAGCGCCCATTGCATCCGTATTGCGTGGATATTTAATGAACTAAATGGTATTGAGTTTGTCTTTATATTCCGTACTCTGAATGCTATATTAACAGCTTCGATTGTGGTTGTATAGTGTTGACATCAAATAATTATTAAGATTTTATTGGATTGAAATTGCATTGACATTGAGATTGGTTTCGAGAGTAACCACCCAGATGTTGTCGAAAATGGTCATTTGAATCTTATAGATAATTAGTTGTGCTGCTTCTGTAATTGTTGCGCACATTTTAAAATTTGGTGCGCTTATAGTTTCTTAATTATTTCACAAAAACATTTCCTGCTGGGGTAACGTTACCCCAGCCAGACCTTTTTCTTCGCTAATGGGAATATTTAAATAATTACTAGCTATAAAATTAGTTGTCTAGATGAAGTAAATGTTGTGCCTTATTTTGTATTTGTTTTTTCATCGCTTGCGAAGTTATTTGAGATTTTGCTGGGGTAACGTTTTTGGTTTTGCTAGATCTTTGGAATGGTTAAGCGGATTCTTATCATATTTTGTACATGGCTTCTTAGGAATTAGTTTAAATTTGTTGTGCAAAAAAAAATCAATATAACACATAGCTTAAAGGAAAACAAAAGTAAGTCTTTAGAGTAAAAACGAAAGTAAGTCTTTAGAGCTCTTATTGAAAGTGCTGGCACCAATCCAAGTGTTTTTCTATTTAATGAAATAACCCTTAAGCTATTTATTATTTTGTTTTTTTTTTTATTGCATGACAAAGTCAAAGTCAAAGCATTTATTTCAATTAAACCATAGTTTGGTACCTTTGAAACGTCAACAAATACAAAATAAATAATAGTCTGTCAGTCAGTCCGTCAGTGAAACTAGGTGAAGCTAGGTGCTCATTCCAAAAAGAAGATTCGAATGGAGAAGAACAAGCAAGAAACTCCATTCGTTACTCTTTTTTAAAAAAAGTATGTTCTACAATGTCTCTGATACATATTTCAATACTGTACGCATATGTAAGAACTATGCAAAGACATGCTTGACGAATTATACTAATAACTTACTAAAATTAAAAAAAATATATAAAAATCTTGAAGTCCAACATGGTGCTCACATATGCATACTGACAATCCATAGAATTAGTGCTTCTATACAAGAAAAGGAAACTCTTTGTTTCAATAAAGAAATGCTCGATGCCATAAGGAATGACATGACAAATTTAAACTTCCCGGGTCCGTATTCCTTCGGGGATAAAAGGCGTGAAGTTATGTTATGTTACATAATACATTACTTGGCTTTCACTTATTGAATTAAAAACATTAATGTCTTCAATCACAATTTTACAGAACAACAACAAATCGCATGATAAAGAATGCGAAAGGCGAGCGTATTAGGACCTCTACCATAAAGCTGTCTACCAAGGTACTGGACAGACCTCAGAGGCTAAGGGACACACTTATACATGAGCTGTGCCATGCTGCCACTTGGCTGATTGACTTCGAACTCAAAGCTGGACATGGACCGCTGTGGAATAAATGGTAATCTGATTGCATGTTTTATGAAATTTTCTCCAAGAGTTAGAAGTCACCTTTTGCCCGTTAATATTAGAAATACAAACACGGCACCTAATTATTATGTTTTCGGCTTAGGCACGTAACTGTTTGACTAAAACCTCGACTAGTTTTAATCCATCCTAGAAGCTGCTGGCTAGTAGCAGCGCGACAGTCGCCGGATCGTTTGTCGCGGAGTGCTGCTCTTGAATAAGCCGAATAATTAATTTAATATTTATGTGTGACGAAAATATATAATTGAATATATAAACATCACGTAACTTCTTTTTACCTCCCGAAAGGCGTGCATATGGTGCACATGGACAATGTAACAAGCATTTTGTAACTAGTTACGTTATTAATGAAAGAAAGAAAGAAAAAACATTTATTCAGCACCAGGCACGATGCAGCATAAATAAAATATAAAAAAGAAAATGAAGGTGTGACAGTGGAAGTAATAAAAACATTGAGTTGAAAAATTCAAACAAGAATTAGAAGAGAGACGCTGACAACATGCCTAAGCTAAAAGGGTCACCCACTCAGTGTAAGCCAGCATACAAGTCACCCAGCACTGATTTTCAGTGGGCACCCATGCACACTAATGTCACCCAGGTATTATAGGGAGACTTGAAAATTGAAATCCTAAGTACAGTTCCAGTCTCCAGACACGCTATGACTACGAAAATTAATTGAATTTTATGACAACTAAATACTCAATACCCCTTGTTTGTTAGTCGCTATTGCTACAACTCTACTCATTTCTATCTTTAACTAACTTTCAATTTATTTTGTATGTTTCCAGGGCTAAGCGCGCTCTCAAAGTGTACCCAGAACTGGGCGAGATATCGAGATGCCACGACATGCAGATACATTACAAATACTCCTACAAATGTACCAAATGTGGATATAGGTGAGATATTCTATATTTTTATACTAGCTCTTCGCCCTCGGCTTCGCACGCATAGTGTAGGAAAAAAATACATCATAAACCTTCCATATACGATCTCCGGCCACCGTATAAAGCGTGGGCCTGCGGACGGCGAGCATGGGTGGCTCGCAACCCGACCAGTACCAGACCCGAGCGTACGGCGCGTCGCGTTCCGCGCGCGCCTCATACAGCTATCAGATCACCACGGATGGGGCCCAATAGGGCTGATGCCGATATGGAGCCGCGGAGAACCTAGCGGGCTACCGAGGCTCCAGCTCGAAGTGCAGGAGTAGGAACGGGGTGGTATTTAGTCAGTAAGAATCTGACACTCCCTCTCGCCTCACCCAGGCGGGAGAAGTCATTCGATAATTCCCCCCCTTAAAAAACATTCCATATCACTCAATCTTTTAAAAAATACGGAGCTGCGGAGGACTTAACGGGTTGCCGGGACTCTGGTTCGAAATGCAGGAGTAGGAACGGGGTGGTTTTTAGTCAGTAAGAGTCTGACACTCCCTCTCGCCTCACCCGGGTGGGAAAAGCCCTTCGATTTTCCCCTTGCAGAAAAATCTATCAAAAAAACATATCAAAATTCGTCGCATAGTCTAAAAGATGTAAGCATAAATAGGGACTTAAAGTGAGTGTGATACTAATCCGATTTTTATATATTCCAGTGTAAATCGCCACTCAAAATCGATAGACATAACGAAAAAATGCTGCGGCTATTGCCACGGTAAGTTTGAGCTGGTTCTAAACAAGAAGAATAAAGATGGCGTCGTCGTGTCAACTCGGGCTAAAAAGCCAAATTATCAAGACTTTTCTATGCACGTTAATGAGAACTATTCGAAGCTTAATGACGGCACACGGACTTACGGAGAAGTTATGAAGATTTTAGCTGAACCGTTCTTATGAGGGTAATAATTTGATATTATTTTGTATCTATAGTTATATCTAGAGGTGGGTTAAACTTAGAGAGCGCCCTAGGCAAGGTGTTTCTAATTATTTTGGCGCTGTTGCGACTCGTTGGCAGTTAGGTCCGCGCGTCTCTCGACGCCTCTCTGTACCGTGGCGCCCTAGGCCTAGTGTGCTTTAGGGATAATACGCCTCTGGTTATAACTTATATCTACTAAGACCGCAGAATGATTATGTAGCTTACTTTAGACAATTTGTAATTTAATTATTGCTATAATATGTACCTAGATGTAAAAGTGTTATATATTTTATTGAAAATGTTAATTTCTTAACTAGAAATTTTGTTGCCTTGCCGTGTTTTTAAATAATGTAACTAATCCGATTATTTTTTATGAACACATATTGAATGAAGTGCAACTCGAATTGAGCAACCGTGATGATTAATGCTCGAACCTTCTCCGTCCGAGAAGGGCCTTTTAGTTATATTTACACAGGGTTATATTGAGGTAAACAAATATGTATAAGTTAAATGTCTCGAATTCAATCGCCAAGTCGCGCATAATATAATAAATGTAGTTACTATCATATCGCCGTTGAGTTCATGCTTGCTATCAATTTGGTAATAGTTTTTATTTATTAATTAGTGACAATTTTAAAACCATGTTTGTATGTTGATACTTTTGTTACATATTAATTGTAATAGATAATTTTATATAATGTACACGAGTTTGTTAGGTAAGTATATGGTGTTATTTAATTATTGATTATGTTTAATATAATAATATATTATAATGTATAATTATAATTAATTTAGACTAATTGTACTGGTTACAATGAATTTACACGACTGCCCAGAAATGAGTGATCAAGTGTTTCGACTGAATCCATTTTGTAAGATTTGTAAGGATGTTAATATAGACCTATATATTTATTTATGTGTTTTATTTATGCCTTGTTGATACAAATGGAAGTTGAAATATATTGTGGGAACAGGAATAATATAATAATTAAGTCCATTCCATATAGGGTCCATGTATGAATAGTTTGGATGTTTGAATGCGCTAACGCGATCTCTGGAACGACTGGTTCAACGTAAAAAAACTTTTTGTGTCCGATAGTCCATTTCTCGAAAAAGGCTATAAAACATCACAATATGATAGACCAGTACCGTGCACAGGGCACCGTGTGCGTTACCCAGGCCAGATGTTGTCGAAAATGGTCATTTGAATCTTATAGATAATTAGTTTTGCAGCTTCTGTAGTTCTTGCGCACATTTTTGAAATTTATTGCGCTTATAGTTTTTTAATTATTTCACAAAAACATTTCCTGCTGGGGTAACGTTAACCCAGCTAGACCTTTTTCTTTCTAATGGGAATATTTAAATAATATTGTAGAAAAAATTTAAACTAATTCCCAAGAAGCCATGTACCAAATATCATAAGAATCCGCTAAACCATTGCAAAGATCTAGCAAAACCAAAAATGTTACCCTAGCAAAATCTCAAATAACTTCGCAACCGATGAAAGAACAAATACAAAATAAGGCACAACATTTACTTCATCTAGACAACTAATTTTATAGCTGGTAATTATTTAAATATTCCCATTAGGAAGAAAAACGTCTGGCTGGGGTAACGTTACTCCAGCAGGAAATGTTTTTGTGAAATAATTAAAAAAACATATACAATATAAGCAATATAAGCGCAACAAATTTAAAAATGTGCGCAACAATTACAGAAGCCGCACAACTAATTATCTATAAGATTCAAATGACCATTTTCGACAACATCTGGCCTGGGTAACGCACACCAATCCTCAGGGGGCTCCCGAAAGACTGACAATTTCTACGAAGGACACGGCAATCGATTGCCGCGCAACTTGTAGCGGGTTCGATTCCCGCATGCAACAAATCTTTGTATGCTCCACAAATTGTTCCGGGTGTCATTATGTATATGTAAACTTATATGTTTATAAAGGCATCCACGATACACGAGACAATCCCAGTGTGAGGCAACGTTAAAAAACAAAATACTTCAAAAGGACTCAAAATAATCTAAGACGAGCCTGTATTAGGCCTGAAACTGCGTGGTTTCATACAAAAGTGCCCCGTCGCGGGGACCAGCGCTGGTGTCTGTCACGGGGAGGTGTGCCCCGCACCCACGCAACGAGGTCCACCTCTGTGCGACGGTACCCGTCGCGGGGGCACGCGTGGTTCTCACTAGCAGTTACAGGGACGCTTGTTCAAACAATAACGCTAAGTGATACGGGTCGCACGTATGTACGTTTGGAGAAAATCAAGGACGTCTTTCGATACAGAGAGGGTAATTGTGGAAGTGCATTGTCACCTTGCCATATGGGGTCAGGTGAATGAACTGTATAAAGACTGAGACGCCCAAACAGCAGCATTGTGTAGAAATTTAGAATTCTGAAATAACATAACATAACATCACGCCTTTTATCCCCGAAAGGGTAGGCAAAGGTGCACATTATACCACTGTACAATGTAACACCCACTTTTCACTATTTATGTTATTTTTAAGTCCCATGTAATAGGGGGTAAGCCTATTGCCATATACCGGGCACAATTCCAGACTCCGTGCTACTACTGAGAATGTTTAAAACCCAGTAATACTTTGCCCGACCCGGGAATCGAACCCGAGACCCCTTGCCCGGCAGTCGCACTTACGACCACTCGGCCAAAGAGGCAGTCAATTCTGGAATAATATCGCTCAAATAATAGTCAAAATACTCCCAACATAGTTCCTTTAGTCTATTCGTCTCACAACTATCCCATCATAGTTCCTTCCTTAAACTATCTACAATCATTCTTTACGGAATGTGTTAAGAATTGATATATTTATCTCGTAGGTATCTATGCCGTAATTATTTTCTTTCACTGACTAGTGTTATTTTTGTAAAACATGGTATGTAGGTAATAACACAGTACGCTGACGACTTAGCGATATATATTAATGCTTATCGATTGGTGAGGGTCAAAGTACCTAAATACAGGTTGCACTTAATCTAATAGATAGGTTGCTGGCACGTTCTGGCTTGCAAGTTCCTCCTTCAAAATGCAAAATTTGCCTATTTAATAGGGCTTTTCGTAGGACAGTCTTTGGCATACACCTTACTGGTATACAATTACAACTGGGTGATAATGTTAGATACTTAGGTCTCTGGCTAGATAGGGGGGACTGCGATGGTATAACCGTCATTATAGACACAATTAAAGAACAATAGGTTGCGGTCACCTGTGACCGCTCGGTGTTTGACAGTTTAATGAATTGTGTTAAAGAAATACCAAGTTGATAAATATCTTTAAGATCTTGGTAGGATCGGCATAGGGTATCTACCCCATGCACCTAAGGCGCTTATTATTATTATTTACTTATCTTTAAATCACACAGGTAAGTATTTTATAATTTAAGCCCCACAAAACCGTTGCTATGGTTTGACTGTGGGGTTGAGTCACTAGGAATATTATACAGGAAACTTATATAGAATTTAAGATATATGGCGCCAACAGACGTCATTATTTTGATAGATGGGTACATCAAAAACACCCCAATTCACGTGGAAGCTGAGCTTTTATTAAGTTTATTTGTTAGACGTCATTTTTAGCCGGTAAATTGTATTTGAAAAGTAAGAGTTTCAAGTCTCCGTTAGATAAGTTGTTCGACAATTTACATGCATACGGTAAGTAACAATCGTTTCTGGAGGAATTAAAAAATACCTCTCCTAGTTTCTACACATGATGCCTTAAAGCGAGAACACGTGTAGGTATACTAGTGGTAGTATTGGTTTGGTTTATTCTCTATGGATACGTGGGACAGTTATATGGACATACCTAACATTAAACCTAATTCAAAACATATAGACAAACCAAAAAGTACATATAACAGCTATAACTTAAGATCAATCTGTTGCAAGGCTTTAACTTCATTATATTCAGAATACCATTGTGTATATACAGACGGTTTAGGAAGGGATAATTGTTACGGTGCAGTTAGGTATTTAAGCATTAAATTACGCATTTTATCGAAGCTGTCAATTATGCACTTAGAATTTTTTATTCTTTATTAATTCTTTTAAAAAACGTTACCCCACATTAGGATATCTCCTGTGTCGTGGGTGCGTTTACAAACATACAAGTTCACATACACATGACACCCAGACCCGAAACAACAATTTGTGGATGTGGATCACACAAAGCGTGTCCGTGCGGGAATCGAACCCACTAGGTTGTTGTAACTATATCAAAATGTACCTACTAGCGCCATCTAGTTCATGTAAAGTGAACTAAACCTTTACTTGTCATTGTGTTTGAAAGTAATAAAGTCAGTCTGTTGTATGCACTGAATAACCGACGTGTTTTCTTTAGAGGTTATGGGCTATCACGCTCATCACAGTTTTTTAGTTTAAAAATAGTGATTATCGTATTTATTTTTGAACACGATCGCGTTGTGCAAGATGTCAACAAACTATTTAGCCAGTGTGCCTAAATTGAAAGGCAGAGAGAACTACGATGAGTGGACATTCGCGGTGGAAAATGTGCTCGTTTTGGAAGGCATGTTACATTGTGCAAAGCCAGTAGTTGGAAAGGAAATAAAACCTGAAGACGATGCTAAGACACGGGCCAAATTGTGTCTAACCATCGATCCGGCTTTGTATGTACACATCAAGAAGACGACAACTTCGAAAGAGTTGTGGGATAAACTCAAATCCCTGTTTGACGACTCAGGTTTTTCGAGAAAGATTTCGTTATTGCGTCACTTGATTTCAATACGGCGAGAAAACTGCGAAAATATGACCACCTACGTGACTCAAATTGTGGAAACATCGCAAAGATTGAGTGGAACTGGTTTTGAGATAACCGATCAATGGATTGGATCATTAATGCTTGCAGGATTACCAGAACGTTTTTCGCCAATGATCATGGCTATCGAACACTCTGGTATTGCAATTACGGCTGATGTCATCAAGACAAAGTTATTAGAT